TCAATCTCCAATAACAGTCCCTCACACACACATTACAGATTGTCAGTATCACAAATTAAAAAGACATAAGTACTGTATATACTCCATAGACATTAAATGAGAAAGCAGTATTATGAACAACTTTAATGAATATGACAAATTATGAAATTGATAAAGTCCTTGAAATACACAAATTACCAAAATGTCTGGAAGAAAGATAACATCTTAAATAGCTCTATATCAGGTAAGGTTGAATTAGTAATTTATAACTTCCTCTAGTGAAAAGTACAGGCCCACATGTCTTCCTGTTGGTGAATTCCATTCAATATTTAAGAAAGAAATGATACCAATCCTTTGCAACCTTTTTTAGAAATAACTTACCAACTCATTTTTATGAGTTCAGTTTTACCTTATTATCAAAGGTGGACAAGAGCATCACAAGAAAACTACTGTTTTTTGGTTTTTTTTAGAGAACTGTTATTCTTCATAAGCATAGAAACTAACAAACCTTGTCCAAATATTGAAAATTGAATTGATGTGTATATTCATATATTTTAACCAAAGAGGTTTATTTTAGGAATACAAAACTGATTTAACATCTGAACATCTATATAATATACTATGTAATAAAATAAAAGATAAAGTTCTTAAAGATTATCTCAGCAGCAGAGAAAGCATTTAACACAATGCAATATCTGCTTACAATAAGAGCTCTCAGGATAATAGAAATAGAAGTGGACTTCCTTTACTTGACAATGCACATCTGTGAAAAAGCAGCATTCTTAAGGGTAAGAACATTAAGATGGAATGGTTTCTATCTAAGATCATGAACATCAGTGATCTCTTATGTTCAGCATTGTACTGGAGGTCAGTGAAATAAAGGGTATTTATATGGGAGAAGAAGAAAGAAATTTGTTTTTATTCTATTCTAGTAAATGAATTCTAGTAAGTAAATTTCACAAGGTTATAGGGTGTAAGATCAGTGTATAAAATTCAGCTGTATTTCTATGTACTACTAACAGCTAAGATGTAATTTTTAAAGTTTTATTCACATGACCATAAATCAAATAAAACAGGAGTAAATTTAATAAAAGTTGTACAAGAGCTAGTCGTAGAAAACTGCTAAATGTTACTGAAAATTAAGGAATACCAGATTAAATGGAGAATATACTGTAGCTATGGATTTGAAGGCATAATATTATCCAGATGGCATTCTTCCCAAATTTTTCTACAGATTAAATGCAACTCCGACTATTCTCACAGGACTTTTTTCTTCTTTTTTTCCTCCAATAGTAGGGATTTAACCTGGGGCCTGTGCACTGAGCCACATCTACAGCTTCCCTCTGCCCTTTTTCCCTTTTATTTTTTGAGACAGGGTCTCACTAAGTTGCCCATGCTGGGCTTGAGCTTGTGCTTCTCTTATCTCACCCTACCAGAGTACTGGGATATAGGCATATGCCTCTATACCTAGTTTCAGAAGACTTAACAACAACAACAACAACAAAATTGATAAGCTTATTCTGGTGTTTAAATTGAAATACAGAGAACCTAGAATTTAAAAAATGATTTAAAAAGGAAGAACAAATATAAGGACTTGCACTGCTTAATTTAAGACATTTCTATGGCCCTATAGCAAGCAGTCAATACATTGTAGTATTGTATTAAGGGTAGATGAATAGGGATGAAACATTGAGAGTTCAGAAATGCACTGAAACCCATTTGGTCATCTGGTTTTGAACAAAGGTACCAACATTATCTGAAGAAATAATAGGGTTTTTTTTTAATGAATGGTGCTAAAATATTGAATAACTAGTCTATGGCCATACCACCCTGAACATGTCTGATCTCCTCTGAAATACTGGATAACCATTTCCTTATGTAAGACACCAAAATTAATGAAATGGATCTCAGACCTAAATGTAAAAGGCAAGTCATGAGATTCTAGAAAAAAATTTTAGAAGAAAACCATAGCCTTGGGTTAGGCAAAGATTCCTTAGGACACAAAAAGGATGAACTATAGAAGAAAACTGCTAAATTGGACTTTATCAAAATGTAAAAAGTTTGCTAATGGGTAGGCACCTCTAGAAAATGAAAAGGCAAGCCACACATTAGGGGAAAATATTTGCCCTCCTGACAAAGGATTGGTATCTAGAATGTATAAAGAACTCACAACTCAGTAAGACCTTCAGTGTAATTTTTTAAAAAGGAACAAAAAATTAATAGGCACTTTTATAAAAGAATATGTGTTGCTGGTGATGAGCACATGGCATGCTACTGAACATCTTGGTGATGAGGGAAATGCATATTAGTTAAAAACAAAAGACTCTGAGATCAAAGGAAAAAAAATTTATTTGCTTGCTTTAGGATGGTGCTGGCTTAAAAACTCAAATTTGCACAATCTATCACCACTTCTAGTTTTGTATTTGTAACTATACAAATACATTTTTTAGTATTCCATCAAATACCTTTAATTCAGTATATTTTGATGAATTCTTTCCTCTTAAAAATTAACGTAATTGTATGTACTTATGGCATACAATATAATAATTCACTACATGTGTACAATATGTAGTGATCAAATCAGGGTAATTTGCATCTCCTTAAACATTTATCATTTAAAAATATGGAATGCTTCAAAAATTATTTGTAATCCTTGAGGAAGGGCCACTCTAAATCATTTTTGTATCATTCCAGTTGTCGTACATGTGCTGTGAAAGCAAGTACCCTTTCCTTTTTAAGTCTCATTCTTTCCCATTTATATTATCACAACAGTGTTAGACTCAAAATCATGAAGTCGTTCATTTGTTTATTCTTAAAGCAATTGTTTGTCACATTTTCACCTTACTAATTACCTGCATGTAGGTGGAGGTATCAAATGAGTAGTTGGAAATCATGAAAGAGGTTGTGGCTGGAGATATAGGTTTAGCAATTATGAAGGACTAACTGGTATTTAAAGCTGTGTGTCTGGATGAGATCACTTGAGTGGGTATGCAAGGATACATACAATAAAAGAGGTCATATGACTGAGCCCGAAGGTAGTAAAGCTAAATCAAGTCAGCTAATAAGAATGGAGTGGGACAGTCAGGGAGAATATGTTTCAGAGGACAAGTCAAGATATTATGGGAAGAGGCGAGTTCTTCTCTGTGACTGTTGTTATGAGGTCAAGTCACATGAACACTAAGAAATGACTATTGGATTTGATAATGTGAAGGCCATTTAGAAGGTTATTGACAAGATTATCTGCAGTGGAGTAATGGGAATGATAAACTGATTGAAGTAGTTATAAGAGCAAATGAAGGAAGTAGAAACAAAGGATATGAAGCTTTTTTTGAGAACTTAATGTACTGAAGAAGAATATTAGATGGTGACCAGAAGGCTATGTAAAGTCATAAGAGACTTCTTTGATTTATTTTAAGATGGCAAATTTTATAGCAAGTTTGTAAACTAATCGCGATTATTTAAGACATTTTATAGAAAGTTTGTAAACTAATAAGGATTATTTAGGAAAAGCAGGGAAAATTAACCATGTGGAAGAGAGAAAGTGAGTAGAAGTAGGATTCAGTGCACAGTTGAAGAGAAGGGCCTTTGGTAGAAGCACAGCATTTATATGTAGTGACAGGAAGGAAGGTGGTACATTCAGATGTCAGCTCTTACTAAGTACAACTAGTATTTATGGAAATAAAACAAAAAAATACATCTAAGAGGTTAAATAGACATGAATAGGTTAGCCAGTTGTCTTTTTTTTATATTAACATCTTACTGTTTGTTATATACTATGTCATACTGTTTAGTACTCATTACATCAGAATGTGATAGCTTCTCGGCCTTTTGGCTAAGATCAAGTGTAGTACATCAGAATGTGATACCAAAAAGTTGAGTCATCGGGTACTGGATTACTAAAAATAGATATTTTGTGTATTGTATTTGAGTTAAAATGATAATGACCAAGTCATAGGACCATATAATTTATTTTTGGAGTCTTCTGTGTAATTCTTTGAAAATTCTTGTTTTCTTCCTCTCTTTTTTTCTCTTTGGGATATTTAGTTGCATTTCTTTTTATACCTTAATAGAGGACAAAGTGATGTTATAATCTAATAAATTAAGTTGCAGTTCTTAACTGCTATCTCACGCTGATTTCTGTAGCCATTTGCACACTAACAAGTTGCCTCCAGACTTTATTATTCACCATGGTATTGTTTCCACTGCTAAATCTTGTTATTTTTTAGTGCTTCATTTCTTTATGATAAAGCAGGTCAGATAATTCAGGACAAAGGGAAATAAAAAGTTCTGAAAAGATTTTAAGACTGTACTTTTAGCTTTAACCATAGATTATTCTACAGATTTTAATTGTCATCTGTGTTTTAAAGCAGGGTAAACATTATTGCATCTCCTTATTTATTAGCTCTCCATAGTGGTACAACAACATTATCACAAACCTCGTGGCTCAAGGGAACACATAGTCACTATCTCACCATTTCTGTGTGTCCAGAATGGATATAAGCTGAGCTGGAACTTCTGCTAAAGGATCTCACATAGCTGGTGTCATCTCAGCCTTGACTGAGGGCCCACTCTCAGACTTATAGCTTGTTGGCAGAACTCAGTTCCTTGCGGGCTGCTGGATGGAAGGTTATAGTTTGTTGCTGGATGTCAGCCTGAAGTTGCTCTCAGTTCCTCCCTCTGAGGTGCTGTCCATGTGACAGCTCAAAAATTTGCTGCTTGCCTCTTCACAGGAAGAGAGCCTCCCCAAGGCAGGCAGTGTGGTATTGTGTAGTGTAGTCACATGCACGTAATCACTCTGTTTTGTGGTTAGAGGTAAGTTACAGGCCTCACCTACCTGCACCCAGTGGAAGGTGATCACAAAAGGGATAAATACCAGGAAATGGGGATCCTGGTTGCCATCCCAAAGTCTACCACAACTTATTTGCTGTATCTTTACATGGAATACATGTTAATCTTCTTCAGTAATTTTTGCTACTTGTTTAGACTAGTGATAATTTTGGATTTTTAAATTTTCTATTCAGATTCCATTGGCCATGACATTCCTAAAATGCTTACATTATTTAAAAATGGACATGAAATTAAGGTAGCTGAAGAACGGGAGAACTTTCTTACCACCAAAATAGCAACAGTAAGTTACAATGGAAATGATTAAATAATCCCCTTTTCTTTTTTGTTTAATTTATTCGTGAATAATTTATAAAATACATTTGAACTTGCTTTTGGATCTAGCATTAGAAGTGGCACCAAATATATACAAAGTCTGCCTGAAAGATGTATACATACTTCAGGAAAAGAAAAATAGTATGATGTTTTTTCAGTAGATGGTGTTACCCTCATATGGGGGGACCCTAGAGGAGGTCGTATATCACAGAAAACCTACTACACTGCCAGCCCTTAGAGAAGAAATTGAAAATCCATGCACAGTAATTTCAATGACCAAGGTTACCCAAGCAGCAGTTTGCCATACTAATAAATGTCTGGAAGCTCATGGCTACCACATAGAGTACCTCTTGTAATTGTAGAGGCCACAGGTAACTTGTATTAACCTCACGATGTCTCAATAAATTTAGTATTAAAATATTTATACAAGTTTTTCTTTTCCTAAAGTGTGTATACATTTTTGGCAGAGCGTGTGTGTGTGTGTGTGTGTGTGTGTGTGTGTGTCTGTATGTCTGTATGTCTATAAATTTTTCTTGTTCTATAGATTGAACTCAAATTTTAATGGTACCTGAGAATTTCTTTCTTTCAGAATTATGTGCTACTTATTGACATTTATGTGTTTTGCCTTATTTATCTTTTCTAAATATGTATTTTTTGTTACCTAATATTGTTGAGAGTAGGGTATAGATCTTGTATATCTTATAGAGCATACAATGCTTAGCATGTAGGAGGTATTTAGAAATACTTAATGGAATCAAGTAATTTGATTTATTTTCATGAATTATGTCTGATTGTGATTTAAAATTGTTTGCCTTTTTGTAGAAGATGTTGAAAGTCAGTTTTCAGTTCCATTTTTAGGACACTAATATAAATATGTCAGTGTTATAAAACTATGTGTTTAGATATACAGGTGGTGAAAACAGTAAAGTTATTTCCAAGTATATATATTTTTATACTACAAAATCTTGAAAGTGCCTATTTAATATGTAATTTTTTTTCTTTGTTCCTAACTATAGGAACAATAATAATATTGATAGCAAAATTTAAACGGTGTCTACCAAGTGTCAGGTGATAATTATAAATATGTTTTGTATATTCTTTCTTTTAATTCTCAAGCATATGAGGGGTAAAATTTTCATCTTCGTTTTATAGATGGAAGTATGGGAAGTGTAGAGAAGTTTAAAACTTTTCCAAAAAAATAAAACTTTTCCATAGTCTCATAGCTAAAATGAAACTAAAATATATCAGTATTTGAACCTTGGCTGTATCCAGGCTCTTTATCCCAAGCCACCTTGCTTTATGGCTGGAATTATTTTTTGTTTTTCTTTCTCTTTCTCTTCCTATTCTATTCTATTCTTTTTCTTAAGTTTTTCTTTTCTTTTTCTTTTTGGTACTGGGGATCGAACTTGGGACCTTGTGCTTGCAAGGCAAGTGGCAGAACCAGTGAGCTAAATCCCCAGCTCCTGTCTATTCTTAAGAGGAATTCTGCCTTATAACCAGCAGCTAGTATCCGAGCTAATTGAGCTGTGCTCACCATAGATCATCAGAAATATAGAAAAAGCATTCAGCTAGCTTTATGATGAGAAAACTTGCCTAAGAAAGGAAGCACAGCAAGTTTACTGCAGCCAGGGATTGGGAAACACCTACTTGCCACATAACGTCAAAGCTCAGCTTCACCTTACTTGCCCAAGCTCTGCTAGAATCTAGGGTTGAAATTTTCTTGTTCTCCAAAGTCCTTGGCAGTGCTTTTTATTTCTTAAAGTTGACAATAGTGTCATCTAACAAAAAAACAAAAATTCAGATACAAATTTTAAGAGACTATTCTGGAGCTGTAGAGACTTAAGTTTGGGTACCTATTCTAGGTAAGGGATGATAGACTTCAAGCAACTTTCTTAAGGCTATGCGTCAAATTCCTCACCTATAGAATATGTATAGTAATATCTATTTTACAATGTGGTTCTGAAGATTAGATAAAATTTTTAAATGGTAGTATTTGTTGGTGCCATTGCTTTGCTTGACCTGCCTATAGGATATCCTTATAATATTTATTAAGTTGTATTTTCAATATATTCAGTAGTTGATAGTTTATATACTTCCTAACTTAAAGTGTAAGAAGCCATGACATCTCATTTATTTTTTTTTTCAACAAATACTATAATGATTAAGACATGGGCTCTAGATCACACTGCTTGGATTTTTTGAGACAAAGATTTTATTTCCTCAATAAAAAGGAAGTTAATTTATATGTTTAAAGAGAATCTTCTTGAATACTAAAGTATTATGGTATAGAAGATTAAGTGTAGATTTTACATTCATGCTGTTGTGTTTCTAATCATAGTTCTAGCTTAGAAAGAAATGCATCACCTTGCTTTCTGAGCCTGTTTTTCTCCATTTACCATTTCCCCATATGTAAAATGGTGGTGATGATAAGTACTACTAGGGTAGGAAGGAGTAGATGAGATAATAACCTAATAACTATTTAGCATAGTACATGTGGTTTAGATGGAATACCAGGGATCCAAAACAGTGAGCATAACCTTGATACCAAAACTGAAGTAAACTACCATGCAACAGCATTCATGAACATAGAAGTAAACATTTTAAACTAAGTTTCAACAAATCAAATCCTGGAGTATATAAAAAGGATAATGTATCTTGACTACCTTAGCCTGTTTTCTCTTGCTGTAACAGACCACCTGAGGTTTTGTATGATTTATAGAGTAGAGGTTTATATTGGCTCATAATTTGGAAGCAGGGAAGTTCAAGAGCATGATGGCAACTCTGACAAGGTCCTCATGCTGCATCATAATATGGCAGAAAACTGCAAAGGCAGTCAGGCATGTTGAGATGCAAAACACAGGGGTTGCCTTGCCTTAAAAGAACTTGCTCTCTGGAGAACCAGTCCATTTCTGTGAGAAAGGTGTGGATCACTCTTAACTTCCTAATCTTGTCTTACAGGCCCCACCTCCCAACATGGCCACAGTAGCAGTCAAATTTCAACATGGTTTTTGGAAGGGACAAACCACATTCAAACTGTAGCAGTGACCAAGTACAGTTTATCCTAGGAATACAAGTTTAATTAACATTCAAGAATCAGTCATTGTAATTCTCACTCTAAAAGACTTTGTCTTTTAGTAGATACAGGGAAAGCATTTGACAGGATCCAAATACTGATTTAAGTCTCTACAAACTTGAAGTAGATGTCAGTGTTCTTTGGCTGGGGTGCTGCTCAGTGATAGAGCATGTGCTTAGTATGTGTGAGACCCTGGGTTTAATAGCCAGCACCCCCTTCCAAGTCAGTATCCTTGACCTGATAAAGGATATTTAAGAAAAACCAACCAACTTAGTGATAGAAGACTGAATGCTGCTTTCCTCCTAAGATCAGAGACAAGACTGGAATATCTGTTCTTATTGCTTCTGTTCATTGTTGATCTGAGTTTTTTTAGGCAGAGTGGTCAGGCGAGAATCAGAAGTAAAAAGGCATCTAAAATAGAAAGGAAGAAGTGAAACTCATTATTCACGGATTATATGAGCTAGCTAGTAGGGCAAAGAAATGAGTTAAGTATGGTTGACGATACAAACTCCTATATAAAAATCATTTGTATTTGTACAACAGCAGCAAACAATTAGAAATTGAAATTTAAAAACAATGAATGCCATTTCCAATCATATCAAAACTGTGAAATAGAATAAATCTGACAAAAGATATGAAAGACCTGTACATTGAAAACTTCAAAACATAGGTGAAAGAAATTAAAAATCTAAGTAAATGGTCAGATGTACTTTGTTCATACATCAGTAGATTAAATATTGTTAAATGTCAATTATCCCCAAAGTGATCTATAGATAGACTCATTGTATTCTCAAAGTTGCAGTCAGCTTTTTCTTCTGAAAACTGAGTAGCTGATTCTAAAGTTCATATGGGAATGCAAAGGATTTGAAATAGCCAATGCATCTTTAAAAACTAACAAATTTGGAAAACTACCTGATTTCCAGATTTGTAAAGCTGTAGTAATTAAGATAATGTGGTATTGATGTTAAGAGATAAAGCAGTCATTGGAATAGAGTCATAAATAGGACAAAAGACTATATGATAAACAACTGATTTTCAAAGGGTGCAAAGGCATTTTCAGTGGAAAGGCATAAATAGTCTTCAACAAAAGGTACCAGAATAATTAAATTATTTATATGCAATAAAATGAACTTTGACCCACATTTCAAACCACATATAATAATTAGCTCAAATGTATGAAAAACCTAAATGGAAGACCTAAAATTATAGTACTTCTAGAAGAAAAAATTTGGTGAGGAAATGATTTCTTAGATATGACACCAAAAATATCCATGGAAGAATAAATTGATAAAGTGCCCTTTACAAAAATTTAAAAGCTTCTGATCTTTAAAATGGTGTTAAGAGAATAAAATGACAAATCACAGATTACCAAAAATATTTGCAAATTATATATTTGATAAATCCAGAATACATAAAAACTCTCCAAACTCAGTAATGCTACCCAAATTTAAAAAAATTGGCAAAAGATTTGAACACACTTCACCAAGGAGATAGAACAGATAACACACACAAAAAGATGTTTAGCATCTTTAGTCATTAGCACAATGTAAGTTAAAACCACAGTGAGCTATCACTACCCATCAATTGCAGTGAATAAAATTAAAAAGATCACCTATGCCGAGTGTTGGCAAGGGTGTGGAGGGACTGGACCACTCATACTGTTTGTGGGAATGTTAAATGATACACTCTTTTTGGTAAACCATTTGGCAGTTTCTTAAGTAACTGAACATCCACCTACTATGCAGTCCCACCATTTTGCTTTTAAATATTTACCCAGGAGAAATGAAAACATATGTTTATGTACAAAGATTTGCAAACAAAGGTTCATATCAGATTTGTTTGTAATAGCCCCCAACTGGAAACACTAAATATATATCACAGGCAAATGTATAAAC